TTATAATAATACAAATTACAATTACTTACAAATTACAATAATTTTAAATTCCTCCCCACTCCCTCTGACTCACATACCTTTTCCAGCTGTTTCAAAGAGGATTTCAACTCTCCTCTTGTCTGCCATGATGAAAATATAAAAGAAAAAGGCAAGAGCTGCTGAAGTAAGGCTGGGTTAGCTGCTGCCAGAGCCTCCAATGGGTAACTCTGCTTAACTGTATAAAAAAAGCCTCTAAAAAAAGTGCCCTCTGCAGGAGGAGGCGAGAGAACCATGTGACTCATCTACATAAGGAATTTTTCACCTTTTAACCCTTGCTTAACTCTGCTCAAGTGATCATAAAGATAGACTAAATGAGGCACATGGTTTTCTCACCTCCTTCTGCAGAGGGCACTTTTTTAAGAGGCTTTTTTAAACAGTTAAGCACAAAGCAGAGTCATCCACTGTGACTCTGGCAGCAACTACCTCAGCCTTTTTCCTTTTATTTTTTTTCTTTTCTTTTCATGATGACAGTGATGAGGCCCTGCCTCCCCTGAGTGTATATCACTGGTGCTTCTATATTTTGTTGGGGAACTGGGTATTTCTGTTTTTCCCCCTATGCTTTTTATTTATTTATTTATTTTAAAAAACTGTTTATTTTTAGACAGACATAGACAAACAAAAACAAAACATAAAACCATTTTCAATTACATACAGTATGTCAATTGGTTACAAGATTTTTGTGCATCCTTTCCATAGTCCTCACTTACAATTTAGCTTTTTATTTATTTTTTATTCTTTGGTTATGGTGTTAACCCAAGGTCATATTATATAAAATGTGGTGCTATACAAATCTGTTAAATTAATGAATGATTTTTTTTTAAGATTCATGAAATTTTACCTCTGAATTTAATGGAATCCTTGAATACAGAGATAACAAAAAGAGAGGGAAAGACAAAGAAAAGTCCTTGTCTTTCAACTTGCTGAAATATGAATGTGGAAAATACATAAAATGTTTTCAGTTAATTCCTACCTGGTTAAAACAGCTGTGCCATACTATCGCATCTTCATTAATGGTGAATGCTTCATCTGGAGGAGATTGAGGATCCATTTTTCCAACTTTCACTCCAGTGAATGATTGGTTTGGAAATATAACCCAGTTGATGATGTCCAGTTCTTCAACAAGTTCCCTATTCTGATCAAAGAAAATCTTTTCACCAGCACTGTTGTTAAATGATACAGATCTCATAAAATGGAATATCTAGATCACAAAATAAAATAGTTTTAGAAAGCATATAATAACATTACAATTATTATTAACGTGCTTGGTTTTTATTATGATTTCATTTATTAGATTTACTCTAACTGCCTCTCCAAAAGACTCTGGGTGTCTTACAATATATCTGATATTCAGTTAAAACAGTTATAGCATAACAACAAATGTAATAGTCCTCCCCAAAAGAAGAACAATCAAAAACATGATAGGGAGTAGATATACACACTAACCCTGTCACAACCAAGTCATAAGAGCCTCCTGAATCATATTACTGAGGCTCTGATGACCAGGTTTATAATAAGGAATGTTAACTTCCCTTCCAAAAGTGTGTAGATGAACTAAAACAAAAGAAAAACAGTCATGTGATATTTCACAGACTCAATAGTCTGTGATGATGAGCCGAGGTGGCGCAGTGGTTAAATGCAGCACTGCAGGCTACTGCTA